CCTGGAAAGTTCACTGTAGCTGTCGAAATATTTGCTATTCTGTCGTCCGCATTTGGGTTATTGATATGCATTTTTGCTCCTAAATGTTACATCATTTTAATCAGGCCAGAGAAGAATACCAAGAAACATGTGAAAGGAAAATAAGTGTTTTCTTTATGTAATCTGATAACATCTTATAAGTAATATGACAGCTGGATTTGTTGTGATACCATATAAACATGTTTCATTTCAGAGTGGGAGCTCATCTCTCAGTCAGTTCACTTGTATAAGTCACAGTAAAATAAAAAAAAACACCACTTTATAATTGTTTATTAAAAATAATGATGAAATAAAGAGGTACACTAAGCTTTTCCATTTTCAAAGCACTTTAAAGAAAATTCATGCAAAGAAAAGTGGGCATACACAAATGTGTTAAATGTAGCACCATCCCCGTACAGCAGGATGGCCCCTGGTTTGAGTCTTCTGCACAGACTTTGATGCGCTGTGTGATTGATCTCTCGGCACTCCAACTTCTTCCCACTGACCAAAAAAATGCACGTTAGTTTGAGTGAAAATTCAGAACCAAACAAAGTGATTGTTAGTGTTCTGGGTCATTACTCTAACCATGCCTTTGCAGCATCTGTATGGGACTGGTTAGTTGTGCTTGGCGGATGTCAGTTGGCCCACGACCCCGAATCAATAAAAGCCAAAACAGGCAATAAAGAGGAGAGAGAAAATCACAATATATCGTTAATTTCTTGTGTGATCTTCATAGTTTTGTTTTTCAGCCTGTTTTTACCTCTGATGGACCCACTAGATTTTGGCTTCTTTTAATTAAACTCAGTCAAATAATTCTCTGGAAAAATACTTAACAGATGTTAAATTAGTCCAAATAGCAAGAGGTATAAAAATTATATTTGGTTAATATGTTGCATTCACATTTTCAGATAACACTTAATAATCCAAGTGTTTCTTAAGTTTGCTTTTTATTTTTTCAATATAATGTAATTGAAAAACAGAAACACAACACAACACTGAAGCACACTGAGGCCACAACATACCAGCTAAACTTCACCATTAGACCACAGTGTTTGTTTTAAGTGTGGTCATTTGATTATAGCAAAAATAATGAAACTGTGCATTTGTGGTTTCATGTGCTCTTTTTAATTTCATAAGAGGGGTTCTCATGAAGGAGGCACTTTCAAGATTCACCCAGTTATGTGATTCCCTGGCCATTCAGTGGCTCGCAGTCTGGCTTGAGTCAGCTTGCTTGGATGCGAGCCAAGTGGGCGCTAAAACTGTAACTGATTGGATAGGCTAGCATAAAAAAAGACATGCCAAGTCTTGCTAAAGACGTAATAGTGTAAAGATTTTTAAATCCAGGTAAAAAACGTTATTTTTGTATTTGTCTTTGCTTTAAAACTGCACAATATCTTTGAACTCTGAACTTATATAAAGAAAATCAATCAAATCCCCAAATATCAGATGTTTTTTATAATAAGAATTAAGGAGTAACATAATTATGTTGTAACAATTATGTTCAGATACACATATTTGTTTATATAAAACTATAATCATATACTGTATATGCATACTGGATTTGTTTGAATTATTAGAACTACTTTCTGAAACTTTCAGTTAACGCTACGTGTTGTGTGAGCCTAACCAGATCACTGAGCCATGTGGGACATAATCAATTTCTCTTCACAGTAGCATGTCAGCCTAAATCCAGCCCAGCCGTTATAAGAGCTGTGCACCCATTCTGATTTGATCAAGCAGCAGAAACATGCAACGAACAACTCAAATATTCGTGTGTTTTCTGTGTGTAAACACACTTACAGGCTGTGAACTTTTTGGTCAATTTAATATGCAGAGTTTATTCAAAGAAGGGGATATAATGATAGGAGGGATTTTTCCAGTTTTCCACAAAGAGATCAGCAGAACTGGTACGTTTGAGAGGAAGCCTCCTGGAGTGGTTTGTGAGGGGTATGACTTAATATTTGTATAATTTAATCACTTTAGACTTCTTTCAATTTAATGCTTGTCATTTAATCTGTAATAATGCGGATAATGTGATTTTGTCTTTTTCTATGTGCATTGTTTTTGGATAGATTTGATCTACGGGTTTTTCGATGGACTCAAGTCATGATATTCGCAGTTGAAGAAATTAACAAAGATTCTGCTCTCCTTCCTAACATATCTCTTGGTTATAGAATCTTAAACTCTTGTGCATCTCCCACTAATGCTTTACGTGCTGTACTAACTCTGGCCAGTCGCCCAGAGGAGATAAAACAGAATTCTCCTTGTCCTCCATCTATATCTGCTCTGATAGCAGAGTCAGGATCATCTCAGTCCATTGCTGTTGCTGGAGCACTTGGACCATTTCAAGTGCCAATCGTAAGAAATAAAGTCACACGAGTTTTGATGATCTGTGCTTGGTGACTTCATATTTTAGTTGATAATTTTTGTTTTCCAAATAATTTTGTGTTTTTTTTTTTTTCTAGGTGAGTTATTTCTCAACGTGTGCTTGTCTTAGTGACAGAACTAAATATCCAACATTTTTTCGGACTATCCCAAGTGATTACTTCCAGGCAAAAGCTTTGGCAGCCTTGGTCAAATATTTTGGTTGGGACTGGATTGGAGCCATACAATCAGACAATGACTATGGACGAAATGGGGTTCTGGCTTTTACTGAAGAGGTTAAAAAGCTTGGGGTTTGTATTGCTTTTGTTGGAACAGTTCTACGGACATACCCTGCGAGCAGGATTATGGATGTTGTGGAAATGATTAAACAGTCAACTGTAAAAGTAATTCTGGCATTCGTTCCTGAGGGGGACCTTTATCCTTTGATGAAAGAGGTAGTGAAACACAACATTACAGGCATTCAG